CATTTCATGTAGGGCCTTCAGGGTAATGTTCGTTCAGAAGTTCTTAGAGTCATAACATGGTTACCTTTATTTTATGAATGGATTATCGGAGAAGATGGCTGTACATTATTTTCATTGTGCCTTATTTTTTTATTCCAGAAGGAGCATCTGTTGAATATCTAACCAAATTCTGATTGACAATCAAATGCCATGGGAGGCATATATGGGAAATAATTGCAAGACTTTACATACCTTGTATTTGTAGTACAGTGCTCTACATTCTGAGGCACTTGTACAAATTTCCAAGAAAGATTGGAGGCTCAAAACTACTCTTTGTGTTATTAATGATGTTTTTGCGTATTATATTATATTTCATTGAATGGCTTATGGTTCATCAGTGGTGGACTGAGAGTTCAAAGATAGTTTCAGAGTACAGTTTTTGAGAAACAACATTTCATGAGTAGGGTCAATCTGATGATACAATTCACACCAAAACAATGGAGAATCTAAAACCACCCTTGGGGAGATTTTTTAACAGCATCACTAGGCAAAGACCTACATGTGGCATATGCTGTTTATTTGATAGGCCTGATGTAGGAAATTTCCTATTTGTAGATGTGGTCTACTTGATTAAACATTACTCCTGATTCATTTCTTCTTTTACTCATTAAAGAAGCAAGAAATTGGATTTTTAAGCGAGACAACATGTGAATGCAACGATTACTTACTGTTCATTCTGGTTGTTTTCTTGCATAGAAGTTCTTTTTGGTGAACCCCTGGGGTAACTATAGTGAAAAACATGGGAAACTCCAATGGGACTTCTTAATGAAGGTCAGAAGGTTGAATTCAAGTTCCATATAGTTGACAAAGTAATACTTACTATCCAATGTGATCAGGTTGTTTGAGGTTGGATATTTCAAGATGGACACTTGCTAGATGTGCAGGTGTTTCTAGAAATTTGCTTAGAGCTAGAGAACAAGAAAACTGTGGAAAATCATTCATTCATCCTAATTTGGTAATGTTGTTCATTCATTCATCCTAATAAAATGTCTTCTTAAAGAGCAATTAAAACTATAAAATCGTTACTTTTTGTGTGAAAACTAAGAATTTAAGACCTAATGTAGACTTGTTTGGGCTTGTCTCAAGGGTGTGGCACAGAGGCGGCTCGTAGAATCAGGAATGTAATATGTTTTCCATTACATTAGCTATGTGAAGTAATGCAATTGAGTGAAAAAAGAAATTAGAGGTTTTACATGCTTGGAACCCTCCAGCTCCTGGTTTTATCAAACTAAATTTTGATGGCAGTAGCATGGGGAATCCAGGGCTTTTGGGTATTGGGGGGGGGGGGTACTAAGAGATCAAAAAGGTTATGTAATAGCTATGTTCTCTGGCCCAATTGGAGTGGGAGACTCTTTGAGGGCTAAGGTGTTAGTAACTTTGGAAGGGGTACAAAGGGCCAAAGACCTTAATGTCAAGAAATTAATTATAGAGGGAGATTCTGTGATTGTAGTGGACTGGTTAAAAGAAGACACCTCTAAGATGTGGAGCTACAGTAATGAAAGAGAGAGTTCAAATGGCTGATCAAGGATATAGAAGCTCAGTGTACTTGGGTAAAGAGAAATGCCAACTCCTTTGCTAATGGATTAGCTAGGCAAGGGGTTTATAGGGTTTATGGGTTTTGGACTTAGTTGTAATCGTTGTTTTTATCAATTTGGGTGCATTCCCTTCTTCTAGTGAGTTAAGATACCTTAGCTCCTTTTCTTTGTAATTTTAATTCCATTTAATGAAATATGTGGTTATTGATAAAAAAAATGTTTTATATGTTTGATTTTATTTTAAAATTCTCATTTGAATATGCTTTAGATCTTATGTTTATGTATTTTAATTTTAGATAATAGGTTTCTTAAAACATTATTTTAAAACTTAAGTTTATATTTTTTATTAATATTATGTTTAATATTTTTTTGTTTTTTATTTTTTAGCATTTTTTTTGTAGTTTTGCGCTTTGCTTCAAAAAGGCGTGCGCCTCGCCTTGCACCTTGTGCCTAAGGCGCAAATTGACCCCTGCGCCTTTTTTGTGCCTTGCGCTTTTAAAACACTGATCTAGGCGACAAAGCGCCCTTGGAGGCCGCCTTGCCTAATCACCAAGTAGTTTTCTACGTGTTATAAAAAACTTTATATTCATAATTTTTTGAGTTTATAATTATAAAAGACATTTTTAAACTAAAATATTCATTTTGTGTGTTCATATACTAATTTTTTTTACTATTTTCTTATTTGTTAAGGTTTAATCAATACAAACATAGCTAAATGCTGTATTGAACCTTCAAACACTTCAAAACCTGAAGGTCCTGAACCAATAAGGAATAATATAAAATGTTATTCCAAGCAACACATTTTCTTTTGTTTTCTTTACTAATTTTGTGTGCTTATATACTAATTTCTTCTTCTTCCTTTTCTTCTTCTTCTTCTTCTTCTTCTTCTTCTTCCACCTTTTCTTTTATTTTCTTCTTTTCCTATAACAGAAATAGGGGTTCAGCCCCTATATTTTTTGAATTTTCTTTTCTTTCTTCTTTTTCTTCTCATGAATATGTTGGGATATGTTGATTTTCTATACTTTAACATGAAGTTTATACTTATGAAAATTATGGATATTTATTAAAGAAATATGATTATGAAACTAGGGAGCTACCCTAGGATACATATTTTTACTTGAAAAAAAATCCATCGCCTAGGTGACTAGGCAACAAGGTGCCCCCCTGTCGCCTAGCCTCACCTTGGTATCTTGAAAACTATGATTCTGATCAAAGAAGACCAGTCAACATTCTCTAAGGACTAGTCACTAGATCTTAGCTTGTTCTACATCAGGAGGGATCCATAGATGATTAGAGCTA